AATAGGGGGCAGAAAGGGAAAAGACTAGCTACGTGTTGCCTTTTTTTCTCTCTTTTAAATTCTGGAATCTTAATGAAATAGCCTTTTTCTCTTGTTACTGTGTTACTAGATTGCTGTTGTTCTTGCTTGTGACTGGTTTATGTGCATCGAGGGTCTTTTGTTGGGTTATTTGTGCTCTTGGTTGTACGTTGAGTAAGGTTTGGCATCGAAGGTTATGGAATTGCTGTTGAGTATTGGTATGGAATTGCTGTTCGGTAAGGTTTGAAGCATGCAAGGTTTAAAGCATGGAAGGTTTGGCAGAAGAGTATGGAATTGCTGTTGAGTAAGGTTTGAAGCAATGAAGGGAGAAGAAAGGAAGGCATCTGCAACAAGGAATTGGTATAACCTCTCTCTCTATGTATTTGTGTGAATTCTTAAATTGTTGCAGTAATGTTTAAAGCATGAAAGGGATTGTTGTTTGTTGCACTGTACTATGATTAATCAAACCCTTTCATTCTTTTGAGACACCCTCTTGTTGCAAGTGCTGTATTTGGAGCTACCAAGTCAAGCCAACTTTAGGAGGTCATAAATGCATGGCAGGTTGAGCTCACATCCGAAATTGTCGTAGAAATCAATAGAATCCGTTCAAGGTTTCCTAATTCGTGTCCCTGATTTATTTCCTTGTACAGACTTCTGTACTTATATTGATGAAAAGGACAAGGCAACTCCCTTGGAAGAAGCATAAATAAAAAAAAAAATTCCTTGTATAGACTTTTGTACTTTTAGGCTGCTGTTATCAATTCCCAAGCCAATTTTAATGAATCAGAACACAATTTTAATGGTTTTGATGAGTATATTATCTTTATGAGATTGTTTCGTGATTGAAGATTTTTTTGTTTGAAGTTTTGAATAGGGGTGAGCACGGGTAGCGGATAAAATCAGAATCGGAATCGAAACCTACCCAGAATTGGCACTGTGTGGATAGGTTCTGGTTTCATTTTATTGGAACCAATACTGTGCAGTTCCGATTCCGATTCTGATTCTTATGTGTGGAGGAACCAGAACAGGAACCGAAACCTGAAAAAAGAATTTGAAACGGGTACCTGGTTTGGAACCTACTTGGAACCTATAGCGGGTACCCGGTTTAGAACCTGTTTGGAACCAACTTTTGGAACCTAGGTTGCAATGAAATATTTATGAATAATGGGAGGTTTCCATTATTTTACATATAAAAAAAAAATTAAAATAGAAAAAGTTAAATTTTTAGAATAACCTAATTAAATAAATATACAATTATATTTATTATATATAAATTATATCATATTAAAAACTTTAATAAATTATAATATATTAATATTAAAGTTTTGATTAATTAAGTGTATAATTGGAATTAGGATCCAATTAAAAGTGTTTTAATGTTATTAAAAGAATTATTTTTGAATAAAATAGTATTTTTGATTGAATAATAATATATTTAGTTATTTATTTCAATTATCAAATTCTAAGCATGTCTATAGTAAATTAACAATTAATTAATTATATATGATAAATTGATAAACATTAATAAATTTAATTACTAATTAAATATCATACTTATAAAAAAAAAAAAAAATATTGGAGTTTGAAGAATATTTTTTAAGCCAGCTAAAAGATTTGATGCTTAATAGTAATACTCCACTTAAGTTGATTCAAGAATATTTTTGTCTTGGTAAGAACATTAGCCAACTGATTTTTTTAGGGAACGTATGGTATACATATCAAGTTTTTCTTTTGTTGAACAGGATTGTGAGCTATGTTGACGGTTTGAGTTCATTCATAAGTGTATTAAGGCATATGATCACTTCACAAATTCTTAAAGCCATATGTTTACATTTTGACGGCATTCCCATTGATACTCGTCTCCATGGAGAAAACTGGCACCATTAGTTGTATTAAAGAAAATACATAGATTAGCTTGATGTTATTAGATTGGTATTATTATTTGCATATTGTTGACCAATTAACATGAATCTTCCTATTAAATCTATATTTCTCTTATCCACGGGAAACATGAACATTTTAAAAGAGCCGAGAAAAACAATTGTGAAACAATCAAGTGTTAAAAGGTGTTTTGGAAGATGGTAGTTGGGAATGGGGAGTGATATGGCCCTCCAAAATGAACATTGATTCCCAATTCTCAGTTGATCTTAGCTCATATGAGGCCGCTTGTACACTTGATCTGGGCTTGCAATCCTTTGATAGTATTATAAGTAATGTTACATGTTCAAAGAAATCTTACAAAGATTTATGTACAAAGTGATGTAGCAAAAAATAAATAGAAGAGTGAACACAAAAAGTCAAACTCATCATATTTACTCTTCAATTCATTTCTTGCCACATCACTTTGTACATAAATCTTTTTAAGATTTCTTTGTACATCTAGCATTATTGTAATATTATTCCTGAAAGTACCAGCCGTGTTATCAGCTCACTTTCTACCGGTGTTAAGGTTTGCTCCTTGTCTTTTGACTCACTCAAAGAAGTCACCGGATCTCTTCTTGATATGAACCAAGAAGTGGCCAAAGTAATTCTAGAATGCAAGAAAGATATATGGAATAATCAAGAATTGTTTGATTTGGTTGAAGAGTACTTTGAGAGTAGCATCCAGATCTTAGATTTTTGCACTGTTTTTGAGAATTGCCTTAAGCGTGCTTGAAACAGCAAATTAATTATTAAGCTTGCCGTTAAGCAGTTTGAGGAAGAAATGGGATTACAGGATGGGGTTAATGAGAAAAGGTATGTCAAGACGTTGGAGGAACTAAAGAAGTTTAAGGAAACTGGGAATCCATCCACAAAGGAGTTCTTTACATTGTTTCAGTTGGTGTATAAGCAGCAGTTGTCTATGTTACAAAAATTTCAGAGAAGAAAGCTTGATAACAAACTGAAATCCATGAAAACATGGAGGATGGTATCGAATGTCTTGTTTGTTTCTGTATTTGGGTTAAGTCCTTGTGAAGGTGAGATGGTTTTGCTGACAATTGTCATATGTAAACATTTGCAGGTAGTGGCGGATTTGGAGGTTTCCGCAGCCAACAAGGATCAGCTTTTGGTGGGGTTGCTGGAGGAACTGGAAATAGATTTGGCTGTGTTTTTTGAGCAATAGAAAGTGTATTTAGTTAGAAAGGGTTGGCAGGATCCATGGAATATTTAGAGTAGGGATTGAAAGTGTATTTAGTTTGAGGCAAAGTTGGCCTGTTTTGGTAGGTTGTTATTTTGGGAATTACTAGAACTGCTGGAACTATCATTTTCCAGATTTCTTGATTGTATTTGTTTCCTGTTAATCAATGAAATTTCCTCAGCTTTTCTCTTAATTGATTGTTTGGTAAGTGAGGATCTTGGTTCACAGATTTTTAGGCTGCTGTTTTATCGGTTGTCAAGGCCAATTTGTTGACAATTGGATATCTTTTTGTTTGAAGTTTTAAATAGATGATAGTAAGGATGATTTTGATAACAGTTGGCCTTGATTGCTTAAGTGATGTGAGCTATCGCTTAAGCGATCAAGACCAATTTGTGTAGGCTTGCTTAAGTGAGAGTTGACATCGCTTAAGCGATTACGATTATTTTGACACAAATTGGCCTTAGTCACTTAAGCAACGCTGGCTATCGCTTAAGCGATCGTGTACTTGAGGATGAGTTTAGACACAAATTAGCCTTAGTCGTTTAAGCGACGTTGGCTATCGCTTAAGTGATCAAGACATAAATACTGGATTGTTTAAACAAGAGTTGTATCGTTTAAGTGATCGTGTACTTGAGGATGAGTTTAGACACAAATTAGTCTTGGTCGATTAAGCAATGTGGGCTATCGCATAAGCAGTCTAGACTTATATATATTGGTTCGCTTAAGCGAGAGTTGTGTCGCTTAAGTGATCGGGTACTTGAGGACGAGTTTAAACACAAATTAGCCTTGGTTCGCTTAAACGATGTGAGCTATCGTTTAAGCGATCAAGGCTTATATATACTGGATCGCTTAGGCGAGAGCTGCGTTGCTTAAGCGATCGTGTATTTGAGAATGAGTTTAGACACAAATTAGCCTTGGTCGCTTAAGCGATGTAGGCTATCGCTTAAGCGATTAAGGCTTATATATACTGGATTGCTTAAGTGAGAGCTGCATCGCTTAAGCGATTTTATTTTTTATTTTTTAATTTATATGGATTATTTGACAAACCCATATTAAGTAACGTTAATGTTAACTTGGGACGTTCACAACATCACAAGATTCCAGAGAAAAGAAGCAAATTAGCCTTAATTGCTTAAGTGACATCGGTTATTAACACATATTAAAGCCAATTAAGAAGGATTATTTGACAACCTAATTCCATCAACACATAAGCCGTGATTGCTTATGAGATAGTCTATGTTGCTACCAATTTTCTTTATACTTGACTATTCCTTCTCAAATTCAAGATCGCTTAAGCGATGTCAGTTCTCTCTTAAGCAGTCTTGTACAGATAAGCCTTGATCACTTAAGCGATAGCCCACATTGCTTAAGCGATAAGGTTAATTTTTGTCTAAATAATCCTCAAATACACGATCATTTAAGCGATATAGCTTTCTCTTAAGCAATCCAACATATATAAGCCTTGATAGCTTAAGCAATAGCCCACATTGTTTAAGCGATTAAGGCTAATTTGTGTCTAAATAATCCTCAAGTACACGATCGCTTAAGCGATGTCAGCTCTTGCTTAAGCAATCCAATATAGATAAGCCTTAATTACTTAAGCAATAGCCCATATTGCTTAAGCGACCAAAGCTAATTTGATAATCTCATATAAAATACTCATCAAAACCATTAAAATTGTTTTCTAATTCACTAGTAAGTGTTGAACAAATTAAGGGGAAAACTGATAAAAGAATAGCCTAAAAATCTGTCAACCAAAATCCTCACTCACCAAACAATCAATTAAGAGAAAAAGTGCGAAAATTATATTGATTATCAGGAAGCAAATTCAATAAAGAAATATGGAAAATGATAGTTCCAGCAGTTCCCAAAATAACAACGGATCAAAACATGCATTTTGTCTCAACTAAATACACTTTCAGTCCCTACTCTAAAGATTCTATGGATCGTGCCAACCCTTTCTAACTAAATACACTTTCTGCTAAAAAAACACAGCTAAATCTATTCCATGCTTTTGTATCTCCATTAGCTTCAGATGCCTTCTTTTCTTTCTACCTTCGTTGCTTCAAAGTTGGTTCTGATTACTGATAAATTATTTACACTTTTAACTCATTAATCATTCAAGCAATCAGTCACCACTGCATCATGGAATGACTTTACATTACTAAATGCTGGTTTCATCTACTAAGTAAAACATAAATCGGTAAAACCTCTCTCCCAGGGGAAACTAGTGCCCCAAAACCTAAACTGGGTACATTTGCTTGTTTCTTCTGTTTCAACACCTACATAACAAAATGAATGTGAATGTAATGAAATTTGAAAACACATAATATTCATGATTTAACACATGCAAATAGTAGAGATACTACAGCAACGTCAGTTCATGATGAATAAGGATGCCTTTGCAATGAATCAGAGAGAAAGAGGGGTACCTTATGAGCTGAAAACATAACACATGAAGATTCCCCATAAGGCGTTGTTTCCTCAATAACATCAGGAACTTGGTGCTGCAACTCAGCTGACCTATTAGAGAAATGGGGAGGTGAAGATGTGGGCAAAGATGAACCTGAAGAGAATGCCACAAGCTGTAGAGTTGCAGGAGATGTCCAAAAAGGCACAGCAGCAGGCCTAACTGGTGAAGTAAAGACAGGAGGGCCAGGAGAGAAGGAGGAGCATGTCGCCTATGCATCCCACCATGATCTTCATTAATTATCTGTCAAAACCGCAATCCCTTTAACTATGGCCTTACCAATGTAATATGTAAAAACATTCTTTGGAAAAGAACAAACTATATACCCTTTGCATGACCGTATCAAAGGATGAAAATAAGCGACGGGATCGCTCTGGGCAAGTCTTTGCAAAAAAGTGTGTAGCACATTGTTGCAATTGATTGTACCTGTTAAGATTCAAGAATAAAATTGATAACAAAGTAACTAACGAGGCTTCAACCGATATTACTGGCAATGTAGAGAAAAAGGAAAAAGAACATGATATGAAGTATTTTAGTCAATTATATAGACAGTATAAGAAAGCACGCAGAGACCAGATGCAGGTCTCCAAACATTTTGGGAAAAAAAAAGAAGGAAAATGAAATTTCCAACCAAAACACCTCACTCATTGCATCAGCAACACAACACCTAATAAAATCTTCGTATAGATCAGCAGATCGCTTTATTTCTGGAGCATCAGGCCAATGTTCTAATATCAACAGGGCATATTCACAACACCTGCAATCCAAAAAAAGATGATTTGAACAATAGCATAAAATTGCATCATCAATTCAAAGAAGAGTAGTCATACCTTGCACGGAGCACTGCATTACGATCATTCTTTGCACAATCAGCTATGCGAGGAAGTACATGAGCAACTTTGCAATTATGTAACATCTGGAAGAGAGAGAGAGTTTCAAAACATTTCAAATAGGAAAAATCAAAAGACTTGTATAAAAGGGACAAACTGTTTGAGTATTAAAGAAAAAAATTTACTGTCTTTATGCAATTATCTGCAGACTCTACAATTACAAGTACAGTAATCACAACCAACTTGAAAAGAAAACACAATTAAACTGAAAAAGAAGGGTGGAGGAAGAAGAAGATGTAGAGGAGAAGGAGAAGCTTCGGTTTTGCTAAGAACAAACAGCAACATGGGGCGCTGTTCCGATGGTAATGGCAGGAGGGAGGGGAGCAATTTCTTTGATTTGGGTTTGTGTTAAAATGCATCAATTTTAGGTTTTTTTGGGACCAAATTAATTTTTGAAATATTACTCAATCCCTTCATTAATCCAAATTAAGTAATGATTATTGTTTAATTGTTATTAATTTGTCTTAATAAAAAATAAAACTATTTAATAAAGACTGAAAAACTTATGACCTTCTGTTTAAATTCAAGGCCATTATACCTTTTAATCATTTACCCCAGAGTTTGAAATGATTATAATTGTTATAACTTGTTCATTAGTATGTCTCCAGCGTAGAACCTTTCTCTCTATATATATATATATATTAATTATTTTTAATTAAATTTTCTTAAAATATATTAAATAATTTTTAAATTTAGAATTTTAATAATTTTGAATATTTATTTGAATCACTTTTAAATTCCAAAAGACAAAATAAATCATTTTCAAATTTCAAAAACATTATCAATAACAATATTGGAATGTAAAATTACTTTTTGATCCCAAAGTGACAGATATTCTCAAATCTCAAACATAATTAATTTGGGGGAAGTTATTAAAAAGACATTTGAAGTTTACATTTAATTAAAAGGCTATCAAGTTTTNAGCATTTCTAAGATAATGGATTGTCAGAATTATTTCAAAATAGTCTTTGGGGGGTGTTTGATTCAGGAATGTTAGATTTCTGGGAATGTTGGATTATTAGAAAGGTAGATTACTTTGGAAGTTTATTGGGAATTTTTAGGAAAATGTGTTTGGTTAGTTGGTGGATATGTTATATTAATATGTTTGGTTATGAGGAATAAATTGGTGGGTATGTTATTTAAATTACTAAATTGTTCCCTTTTCAAATATTAATATAATATTATTTTTATTATTAATTTTTGAATAATTTCTTTTAACCTCCAATATTTCAGATTTAGTTAAAACACCCCCCGCTTATATAAAACTTTAATTTATTACAAAATCACCTCCACCTCCTGCCGCCATCGCAAACCACCGCCAGAAGTCTCCGAAAGTCCCCGTGAGAAGCTCACCGTGACCAAGCAGCTCCGATATGGCCCTGGATATATTGATGGTCGAAATCGGTCATATCAAGCCAGATCTGGCCGGAAATGGCCAGATCTGGCCCAGAATAGATCTGGTCGTGAATGGCCAGGGATCTAGCCGTTAACGGCCAGATCTGGCCTTTTTCGACCATAAATATGGCCGGAAAAGGCCATATCGAAGCCTCCCGGAGCCTCCCACCGAATCTCGTTCCTTTTAGGGACTCCGACGACTTTTCAGCGGCAATCCGTGGTGGTTGGCCGCTGTTGGCAGTGGTCGCTGGGTGGCATTGGTGGTGGTGGCTGAGTAACAATGGTGGTCTGTAAATTATTTTAAATATAAAAACATTATTGTCCAAAATTTTAGTTAAATATGGGTAAAATTGAAACAGGATATTAATGTAAATTTATTTTAAAATGAGGGCATTATTGTCCAAAACTTTTATTAATAAGGGATAAAATTGTAACAAAAAAAGATAACTCTGGTAATCTTAAAATACCTAAGAAAATGGAGATAATCAGATTACCTCCAATATTACCAATAGTAACTACTATGGTATTTGAAGATTACCGAAATCTTATATTACTTGACAACCAAACGTGGTAATCAAGTAATATAAGATGACATTACCCCAATAATCTCACATTACTGCCAACCAAACGCCCCCTTAAAGAATTTGATATCTAAACAGATGAATACGTACTTTGATATTTTGCTGAATATTTTAAATAAATAATTCGTGAATATTTCTCAAACTTTTTTATTTGGGTCATTCAATGGAGCTTGTAGGGCCTTTAATAGATCTTAAAAATTAGTTAAAATGCACGTAAGTTAGTCAGAATACTCCAATTTTCAAAAAAAAAAAAATAATAATAATAAATAAAGCACTTTTTAACTTACTAATTGCTAGGGAAGAAGTAATTTTAGAAGGTTAACAAAATGAGGAAATTAGATTTCACTTATGTTACTACTATTACAAACTTGTTTTGTGTGTTGCTCGGAGGAACAAAACAATTCACGATGTTGTCTTCTTGGTGTACTCAGCGTCCAAATTGGTTAATTGGATGTCATAGCCTTGATATTACAATACTGAGTGAGGTAACATTACCTCATAAGATAGAGAAACCCATTTTCGTATCGACTAATTTTCATTAATGTTACTCAACGCTAAACAAACTTAGGCTCCAAAAATTTAGACTCATATAACTTTGCATAAGGTATAGGGAATTGGGTTATAAACAACCACTGAAAGCAATCAATGACATCCTGCTCAAAATTTCCAATTTAAAAATACGGGGGAACGACTTACACCTACTCAGAGTTTGCTTTAAGGACAAATTAATACCCAAAAGGTTTTGAAATGACAAATGTCCACTTTCCGTCCAAATCAGTTAGTAAATCTGTTAACTAAAATGGTATTATCGATATTCTATTATTTTTGTGGGGGTAATTTTGACTTTTTGTGTTTTAAGGTTTGTGAATAAAAAAAAGTTAAAAAAACTGCATTAATAAAAATATTAAAAAAATTTGCCCAAATCTCTTATCCTTCGTCTTCTTCTCCCCTTTCTCTCTCTTATCTTTCTCTGATTATCTCCCTTCTCTTTCTTCCCTTCATTCTCCCTCTTTTCCTCCAGTCACTAAGCAAGAACCCGACACCGGAATATGGGTAGATTGAAAGCCTCTCTCCTCTCTCTCTTCCCGTCTTCATCTTCTTCACCTCTCTCATAAAAGGGCAAAAAAATGGGGTCATTTGCAAAGCTGTCGCACTTCCCCACCCATTTTCTGGAAGCCCCGTCACCGAAAACCTTTCCTCTCCCCGCCAATCGTCTTTTCGGTGTGCCCTCTCCAAAACCCCCATTTTCACCGTCGTCGTTTGCTCACATTTCAGCTCCCATTGAATTCCTAGGGTTTTTGTTGTTTATTGAATTGGGATTGATTGATGTTTTTCGGAGTTTTTAATAGATGGTCGGAGATTAATTGGGAGTGTTTTTTTTGTGTTTTTGTTTGATTTTTGGGGATTTCTGATCAATTTTGGCATTGATGATTGATTTTCCAAGTTTTGGCATAGCACTTGTTTGAGGTTTTGCCCCAAACCTTCTACGCCTTGCGTGTTTTGGTTCTTTTGAGTGTTTGAGAGTGATTCTTTAGGATTTTTTGCGTTGAATCTTTTGGTGATTTGAGTGAGGTTTTTTTGGGGCTTTGGTCGTTTTTGCTGTTGGTTGTCCTGTGGTTTTGGCGAGAGATGAAGAAGATGAAGACAAGATTTTAATTAAAATTAATTATAAAAATAAAATAATTAAAATTAAGAAGAATTATTTTTATAAAATTTATATTAAAGAGAGAAATTGGGCAGAATGATATATTTTTTTGTTGGATATAAAATTACCATATTATCCTTTTTTTAACTAACTTTACTAACAGAGTTGGACGGAAGGTAGGTAATTGACGTTTTCAAACTGTTTGGGTACCACATTGTCTTTATAGCAAACTATGGGTGGGTGCATGTCGTTCGGCCTAAAATACAGGAACAATTATTAAACATTGAGTAAACAACATATTCCCACCCAAGGTTTAGCTAAAACCTAAGTTAATACTCCCTGTTTCATTTATTCCAAACACCCACCCTTAAATTAACATAGTTAGTGACTATTGGGTCCTGATGAATGTTATTATTAAACTGCCCTTCACCCCATTCCAAACCACCATTGCACCACTATAGCCAGCCAAACCGCCACCAGAACCCATTCCAAACCAACCCATCCCAAACCACCACCATAGCCATCCAAACTACCCCATTCCAAATCCCACAGCCGGCCAAACCACCACCACCACATCGCATTCCAAACCACCCCATCCCAAAACCACCACAGCGTCCAAACCACCACCACAATCGGCCAAATCATCCCATTCCAAACCCAATAGCAACCACAAAAAATAACACCATTTCAACAAGAAAAACAAAATACAAAAGAAAAAGCAAAAGCAAAAAACAAAATAGAAACCCTAGGGAGAGGGGGTTTAAATCGGTGTTGAAAGGTGAGAAATCGAGGATGGAAATCATGGGGTTATTGGAGAGGGCTCTTTGATGAGTTAAATGGTGGGTTTGATGAAGATTTTTGGTGATGGGGCTGCCGGAAAGAAGTCGGCAGAATGCGACACTTGAGGTGAAGGGTGACGGCGAAAAGGGGAGTCAAGGTGGTTGAGGGTGTGGTGGGTTGGGATGGTGAGGCGCCGGGGAGGAGGAGGTGTGGAGGGAAAAAGAAGAAGATGGGAGGAGGAGGCGTGCTGGGGAAGACATGGGAAGGGGAGAGGGGTAAAATGAAAAAAAAAAAAAAAGAGAAAGACCAATTTGCCCCTTCACTGTTAAAATAAAGGAAATGGTGTTAATTTAAGGGTGGGTATGTGGAATAAATGAAACCAATGGTATTACATTAGGATTTCGCTCAACCTTGGGTGGGAACATGTTGTTTAGTCTTAAACATTATATGGAGTTTGAAGGTGCAACGAGAGCCACGGGGAGCTTAACATTTAATGAAGGTGGTACTATATTTCCAAGAACAATACCCATTTACCATACAATATAATGCCAATTCTTGCCGTTGGTGGAATTGATTCAACAAATGCATGCAAAGAGCTCTGTAGATGCTGGAGGTGATGTTCTCTAAGCATTCATCTATTACAAGAATAATGGGTGCAGACATTCTGGAATCAGAAACAGGAACAAACTGGGCCTATTGTCCCAGTTTGAACATAATCAACCATAGGCGATGACAGTTCGGAAAATTACGAAGTTCTTCCTGCTAGAAGCCCAATTCACCTTCACTTCCATTCAGATTATGGCAAACTACACACTGCCACTGGCCCGATCCAAGTATTATTTGCAATAGATGTTTGCATATGCTCCGCAATTATGGCAGCGATGAGGATCACGTTGTATTATTGAGGACCTGGAGAAACCTTCTCCCAGGAGAAACTAGTGCCCCAAAACCTAAACTGGGTACATTTGCTTGTCTTTCTGTTTCAACACCTACATAAACAAAATGAATGTGAATGTAATGAAATATGAAAACACGTAACATTCATGATTTAACACATGCAAATGGTAGAGATACTACAGCAACGTCAGTTCATGATGAATAAGGGTGCCTTTGCAATGAATCAGAGGAAAGAGGGTACCTTACGAGCTGAAAACAGAACACATGAAGATTCCCATAAGGTGATGTCTCCTCAATAACATCTGGAACTTGTGTGCTGCAACTCAGCTGACCCATTAGAGAAATGGGGAGGTGAAGATGTGGGCAAAGATGAACCTGAAGAGAAAGCGACAGGCTGCGGAGTTGCAGGAGATGTCGGAAAGGACAGCAGCGGGCCTAACTGGTGAAGTAAAGACAGGAGGGCCAGGAGGAGTGCTTAAATGAGGAATTGGGCTTCCACTGTTGACCCCATTTGCAGGTGACAACATATTTGGGGTTCTAATTGAAGGGGAAGCGATTGGGTCATGTTGTAATTTTGGTGGAGGAAATCTGGGGGTGCAGATGAAATTGGAGGACGAGGGATAGGGGTTTTTCTCTGTTTGAGGTGATGTGTATCTGGGTTTGGCGATGTGGCAGTAAAAGAGTATCCAACGGAAGGTTGAGTTGGATTGCCATTAAAATTCAAATCTTTCTTTATTAAGTAACAACAATCTCAAAACTGAGAATCGAGTACCAGAATTAAAGAATGATTTAAATCTAAAAGGGAAATTCGGTACGAATTTAATTTAGATATGATGATAAACACAAATTCCTGAAGAACAGAATTGCAGAGAGAGTAAGATATCTTATGTCTTTGATTAACAACCTTAACAAATCTAAACCCCAGAGACAACAAATAAAAAGAGGCTTTTGATTGAAACAAAGTTCAAGAAGTGCCCGGATAATCAAGACATAAAGAGCACCAAAAAATCAGCTTCCAAGATCAAATAGTCCAGTTGACGACATTTAAAGTCTACTATTCCCCATCTCCACACAATTGTGGCGTTGGTAAAAACTCCTTCTCTAACAATTAAATCTAAGAAAAAGAAAGAAAAAGAATAGCCCTTAGAGGAAATAAGGATCTGTGATTAGAATGAAATAATAAAAATTTGGGTAGAATTGAAAGATCACATACCTGAAAGAGACGGAAACGGATGATGAGAAACAGGGGAATTTTCAGACCCAAAATGAGTGTCATGCGACTCTTTTAACGAGTTTTCTCTCGACTCTTAACTCTGTAATTTTGGCGATCTATGGACCGTAAGTTGCACATGCGGTAACCATCAGTTTTGCGGTTTCGTCTTTTTTTCACTCAGTTGGACCTGCTTTGCTGGCACGCTCTCCACTTTTGATTGGCAATTTATGATGTTGCCAACACAATATTTCTGACGTGGACAGCTGATCAATCACACTGCCAGTGCCAAAGTTTTTTTTCCTTCTTCTTCTAACTATTCATAGATTTTTCATTTTTCCATTTCAGGAATAGAGGATTTTAACTCCATCAATAATAATAATAGCATTTCTAAGATAATGGATTGTCAGAATTATTTCAAAATAGTCTTTGGGGGGTGTTGATTCAGGAATGTTAGATTTCTGGGAATGTTGGATTTTAGAAAGGTAGATTACTTTGGAAGTTTATTGGGAATTTTTAGGAAAATGTGTTGGTTAGTTGGTGGATATGTATATTAATATGTTTGGTTATGAGGAAAATTGGGGGTTGTTATTTAAATTACTAAATTGTTCCCTTTTCAAATATTAATATAATTATTTTTATTATTTTTTGAATATTTCTTTTAACCTCCAATATTTCAGATTAGTTAAAAACACCCCCCCCGTTATATAAAACTTTAATTTATTACAAAATCACCTCCACCTCCTGCCGCCATCGCAAACCACCGCCAGAAGTCTCCGAAGTCCCCGTGAGAAGCTCACCGTGACCAAGCAGCTCCGATATGGCCCTGGATATATTGATGGTCGAAATCGGTCATATCAAGCAGATCTGGCCGGAAATGGCCAGATCTGGCCCAGAATAGACTGGTCGTGAATGGCCAGGGATCTAGACCGTTAACGGCCAGATCTGGCCTTTTTCGACCTAATATGGCCGGAAAAGGCCATATCGAAGCCTCCCGGAGCCTCCCACCGAATCTCGTTCCTTTTAGGGACTCCGACGACTTTTCAGCGGCAATCCGTGGTGGTTGGCCGCTGTTGGCAGTGGTCGCTGGTGGCATTGTGGTGGTGGCTGAGTAACAATGGTGGTCTGTAATTATTTTAAATATAAAAACATTATTGTCCAAAATTTTAGTTAAATATGGGTAAAATGAAACAGGATATAATGTAAATTTATTTAAAATGAGGGCATTATTGTCCAAAACTTTTATTAATAGGGATAAAATTGAACAAAAAAAGATAACCTCGTAATCTTAAAATACCTAAGAAATGGAGTAATCAGATTACCTCCAATATTACCAATAGTAACTACTATGGTATTTGAAGATTACCGAAATCTTATATTACTGACAACCAAACGTGGTAATCAAGTAATATAAGTGACATTACCCCAATAATCTCAATTACTCGCAACCAAACGCCCCCTTAAGAATTTGATATCTAAACGATGAATACGTACTTTAATTTTGCTGAATATTTAAATAAATAATTCGTGAATATTCTCAAACTTTTTTATTTGGGTCATTCAATGGAGCTTGTAGGGCCTTTAATAGATCTTAAAATTAGTTAAAATGCACGTAAGTTAGTCAGAATACTCCAATTTTCAAAAAAAAAAAATAATAATAATAAATAAAGCACTTTTTAACTTACTAATTGCTAGGGAAGAAGTAATTTAGAAGGTAACAAAATGAGGAATTAGATCACTTATGTTACTACTATTACAAACTTGTTTTGTGTGTTGCTCGGAGGAACAAAACAATTCACGATGTTGTTCTTCTTGTGTACTCAGCGTCCAATTGGTTAATGGGAATGTCCCTAGCTTGCTATATAAAATTGAACTAGAGCCACTTCTGCTATTTTACAATTACACCCTCGATTGCATTTGCACCAATCTGACTAGATAAGGAGAAGAAAACAATTCACTGACGCTGGGCTTGGAAGATCTTATTGCTGTGCTAAAGCACTTCAACTAAGAAACAATATGTGATGAACCAATTTCAAACTTTTTGAGTTATGGTCAGTATATAAATGTTCTTTAAAAAAATCGAAGAGAAAGAAAAAGGTGAGATGATATCCATAGACGTCATCAAAATTACATTCTCTTTACCAGGGGACAAAAAAAAGGAAAGAACAGGAGACAACAGATTTGCATCGTCATTGTAATGCAGCTCCCACAATTCCTTCTTGCAGGAACATCAGCCACTAAAATTTACACCCTTAGCTTGGTTCTGGTGGCACCAGTCTCAAACTTCGCATCCACTCACAGAAGCTAGGATCATCAAAAAAAAGAAAACTGCTTTTCAGCTTTGTCCGCTGTTCCGTCGTTAAAGATCGAAGCTGTGGAAACCTTGCCTCCTACAATGAAGTAATGTGTTTTGTGTTGAGCAAACAGCTAATGTAGCCAGCAAGTAACAACTGAAATTAAAATCAGAGTACAAAACAAGATGTCCCTATTATCAATACTTTTAAGTTTTTCCCCTACTCACCTGCTCATACGGAGGATCCTTGTGTGCTGGAATCAGCCGAGATACAAAATACCGAGCCTGGGAACTCCCTTCCTGCTCAAAATCCAGACCATTAATCTCTCTAATAACCTTTGATGACAACCAAATGATGGAGGAAAATTCATAGTAATAGGACTGTGAAGGAAAAAAACCTTGAATGCAAGGATTCGAGGAGCTGGAAACCTAGATTCAGTTAGTTCTTCAGCCAATGTTCTGCAAGCTGCTAAAGCGGCTGCACTTCTTCCCTCATCAGCAGCAAGTTCTGCACCCTGAATCACCAATAAATGGGTCGATGTTCATTAGAAAGTGAAAGTAGTAAAGAGAAAAGCAAGGAAAAAGATAAAGAGAAACTTTTCCAACCAGGGAGACGCACAACCAGGAAACACAGGAAATTGAGGATTTTGATAAACAAATAGCAGATATAAAGAAAAAATGATTCTAAGAAAGCAAGAAAATTGAGTTAAGCGACATACCAACCAAATAAAGACATCTGTGCCATGGTCAAGAACTACTGCTTTGTCAGATTGCATAGCTAGGTCATGAGCCGGAAGCTCCTCAAAAGTGCCTCCTTCCCGGTGCATTAAACAGCGAGGTGCGACCATACGAAGTGACAGCTCAAAAGATGCATTCAGAAACAAACTTCGTAATACAGACCTCTCATCTTCATGTCCAATAATGCTTCCTAAAAGTGGGCCCCTTCTTAGATGAAATAAGATCTCTGATAGAGCAGAAAGTTCTTTTGGGAACCGATAAAGCTTTGACTTTGGTACTTGGGATCCAAATTTTAGAGCTACGTCTTTAACTCTTTCATCAATTGTCGTTCGCATATCAATTGCATCAGAGTGATTTTTGGCTCGCAAGAGGGTCCTCTTGGCAATGAGGACCGCAACCACTTCATCTTGAACACTCTCAAGATATGCTGAAACATTATCCACAGTGGGTAATCTGACAGTAACAACTCTTGAAATATCAGCTTGATAAACATTTGAATATTGAATAGCAAACTGGAAAAATACATGATCACTCTTGATGTCTCCTTTATTTTCCATGGATACAGCAAAGCTTTGCGTTTCTTCAACACTTAGCATTTGAATAGAAAGAGCAGTATCATTTTTAAAGGTTTCATGAGTGTCTAAATGTGCCTCTTCACCAGGACCCACAACTTGAGTTACGAGAATATCATCAGAACAACGAATCTCCAGCAAACCATGAGAACCTGCAGCCCTTGTGGATGCCCTTTGCAAGTTCACACCAAAGGCTTCTCCAAAGTCATCATGAAGAACCAACACACCCCCTGAAGCTTTTGCAAGAGGCTGCAACACAGGAACTCTAACAGGGCAAGTTCCAGCACATAGAATGTCAATCACTGTATTGTGTCGATGAGCCTCACGACCCAGAAGCTCCATCCATTTCAATGCTGTCTTTTCCATATGAGGATAATTTGGGTGAGTAAAAGAATGAGGAACTGATCCAGGGCCATATGTATTAGGTCCACCAGCACACACAATAATTCTGCTGTTACCTCCTGCCCTTTTAACTACCCCCCGAGACATTTCTGCTGTTGGCCCCTGAATAATAGAAAGGGCAACCTCAACTGCTGTACCCAGGCAACGATCTCTTGAAGCTTCTGGGATGTTTAACTTGTATGGCCTTAGTGATGAGAATATGTCATGTGCTACCTGTTTTGAAGCATGCATTGGTGATAGATAAACACCAGCTCCATAAAGCAATGCTTTCAACGACTCCTGAGTTGGTGATTTGTCACCAGGAAGCACATCAGCAGATGCTATTGAATCCTCTGAATAATCATAAACTGATACTGTCCTACCATACAATATAATGCCAATTCTTGCCGTTGGTGGAATTGATTCAACAAATGCGTGCAAAGAGCTCTGTAGATGCTGGAGGTGAGGTTCGTCTAAGCATTCATCTATTACAAGAATAATGGGTGCAGACATTCTGGAATCAGAAACAGGAACATAACTGGGCCTATTGTTCCCAGTTTGAACATAATCAACCATAGGCGATGACAATTCCGGAAAATTACGAAGTTCTTCCTTGCTAGAAGCCACATATTCACCTTCACTTCCATTCAGATTATGGCAAACTACACACTGCCACTGGCCAGATCCAAGTATTATCTTGCAATAGATGTTTGCATATGCTCCGCAATTATGGCAGCGATGAGGATCACGTTGTATTATTTGAGGACCTGGAGAAACCTCTCTCCCAGGAGAAACTAGTGCCCCAAAACCTAAACTGGGTACATTTGCTTGTTTCTTCTGTTTCAACACCTACATAACAAAATGAATGTGAATGTAATGAAATATGAAAACACGTAACATTCATGATTTAACACATGCAAATGGTAGAGATACTACAGCAACGTCAGTTCATGATGAATAAGGGTGCCTTTGCAATGAATCAGAGAGAAAGAGGGGTACCTTACGAGCTGAAATCAGAACACATGAAGATTTCCCATAAGGTGATGTCTCCTCAATAACATCTGGAACTTGGTGCTGCAACTCAGCTGACCCATTAGAGAAATGGGGAGGTGAAGATGTGGGCAAAGATGAACCTGAAGAGAAAGCGACAGGCTGCGGAGTTGCAGGAGATGTCCGGAAAGGCACAGCAGCGGGCCTAACTGGTGAAGTAAAGACAGGAGGGCCAGGAGGAGTGCTTAAATGAGGAATTGGGCTTCCACTGTTGACCCCATTTGCAGGTGACAACATATTTGGGGTTCTAATTGAAGGGGAAGCGATTGGGTCATGTTGTAATTTTGGTGGAGGAAATCTGGGGGGTGCAGATGAAATTGGAGGACGAGGGATAGGGGTTTTCTCTGTTTGAGGTGATGGTGTATCTGGGTTTGGCGATGTGGCAGTAAAAGAGTATCCAACGGAAGGTTGAGTTGGATTGGCCATTAAAATTCAAATCTTTCTTTATTAAGTAATAACAATTCTCAAGAACTGAGAATCGAGTACCAGAATTAAAGAATGAGTTTAAATCTAAAAGGGAAATTTCGGTACGAATTTAATTTAGTTATGATGATAAACAACAAATTCCTGAAGAACAAGAATTGCAGAGAGAGTAAGATATCTTACGTCTTTGATTAACCAAACCCTTAACAAACTCTAAACGCCAGAGACAACAAAATAAAAGGAATGGCTTTTGATTGAAACAAAGTTCAAGAAGTGCCCGGAATAATCAAGAACTCCATAAAGAGCACCAAAAAATCAGCTTCTAAGATCAAATTTAGTCCCAGTTGACGACATTTAAAGTCTCACCTATCTCTCCATCTCCACACAATTGTGGCGTTGGTAAAAACTCCTTCTCTAACAATTAAATCTAAGAAAAAGAAAAGGAAAAAGAATAGCACTTAGGAATGAATAAAGGATCTGTGATTAGAATGAATAAATAATAAAAATTTGGGTAGAATTGAAAGATCACATACCTGAAAGAGACGGAAACGGATGATTGAGAAACAGGGGAATTTTCAGACCCAAAATGAGTGTCATGCGACTCTTTTAACGAGGTTTCTCTCTTGACTCTTAACTCTGTAATTTTGGACCTTTGGTGTCTATGGACCGTAAGTTGCACATGCGGTAACACCTCAAGTTTTGCGGTTCGTCTTTTGTTTCACTCAGTTGGACCTGCTTTGCTGGCACGCTCTCCACTTTTGATTGGCAATTTATGATGTTGCCAACACAATATTTCTGACGTGGACAGCTGAATCAATCACACTGCCAGTGCCAAAGTTTTTTTTTTTCCTTCTTCTTCTAACTATTCATAGATTTTTCATTTTTCCATTTCAGGAATAAGAGGATTTTAACTCCATCAATAATAAATAATAGCATTTCTAAGATAATGGATTGTCAGAATTATTTCAAAATAGTCTTAAAGAATTTGATATCTAAACAGATAAATACCTAATTTGATATTTTGCTGAATATTTTAAATAAATAATTCATGAATATTTCTCAAACTTTTTTATTTGGGTCATTCAATGGAGTTTGTAGAGTTTTTAATGGGTTTCGAAAATTAATTGAAATACACGTAAATTAGTCGAAACGTTCTAATTATAAAAAAAAAACTAATAATAATAAATAAAGCACTTTTAACTTACTAATTACTGGGGAAGAAGTAATTTTAGAAGGTTAACAAAATGAGGAAATTAGATTTCACTTATGTTACTACTATTACAAACTTTTTTGTGTGCAGCTCGGAGGAGCAAAACAATTCACGATGTTGTCTTCTTGGTGTACTCAGTGTCCAAATTGGTTAATTGGATGTCATAGCCTTGATATTACAATACTGAGTGAGGTAACATTACCTCATAAGATAGAGAAACCCATTTTCGTAGCGACTAATTTTCATAAATGTTACTCAACGCTGAACAAACTTAAGCTCCAAAAATTTGGACTCATATAACTTTGCATAAGGTATAGGGAATTGGGTTATAAACAACTACTGAAAGCGATCAATGACATCCTGCTCAAAATTTCCAACTTAAAAATACAGGAACAATTATTAAACATTATATGGAGTTTGAAGGTGCAACGAGAGCCACGGGGAGCTTAACGTTTTATTAATGGTGGTATTATATTTCCAAGAACAATACCCATTGCTAGTGCTATCTTCAACTCACATGAGATGCAGGTAATGCTTTTCGCAGCCTGATGATACAGAAAAAAACTAGTAATTAACCATATCTGCATGCAAGTTACAGAAGAACAGAGTTTTTTTCATTCACTTTAAAATTCAAACATAAATATCATAGTTTTTAGTGTCAAAATCATACATCAATTAAGAGACGGGGGGTTTTGATCATTTATATATCACAAAGATACCCTCACCGCTTAGAAATATTTTTTCAAGATAAAATCGTGCAAACTCCAAACCTAAAACATGAGTGCATTTCTATTTCAAATAGTCATATAAAAAACTCCACTTATAAAGCCATCATAAGTGCATTTCTATTTCAAATAGTCATATAAAACTCCACTTATAAAGCTATAACATTCACACGCTAACAAGAGACTGATCTTTTGATGTAGTGTAAATAGTGTTAAATTAGGATTTAATTTTGTTTCTCTTTCTTTATTTGATTAGGGTTTCATATTAGAAATACAAGTGGTTTTTTATTTTAATTAGGAGTTTAGTTGATTTAGGAAGTTTTAATTTAGTTAAATTTTACTTTCTTATTTTATAATTAGTCAACAGTTGAGATTTCTTGTTTTAATTAGTTTTGGTGTTTAAGTAAAATTTTATTCCTTGTTTAATTAGAGTCTTGTTAGGGTTGACGGTAACCACCATATATAAATATATCATTCATTTCTTTTGAAGATATAAAATATAAAATGAATCATTCAGATTTTATTTCGGATTTTAAGGTTTAAGTTTTTGTAATTTAGACTTATTATCAATTCTAAAGGTGTAGTTGAGTGCTAGCCTTGTTTATTTACGCTAACTCGCTGCGTCAGTTGATATCAGAGTAGGCAAAATTAGTCTGACTAATGGCATGTGATGAAGTTGTAGGTGGTGCCAGTTCTCATGGTGAAGATCAGGGAACTTAGACATCGCAAGGGGTGGCGTTGACAACTTTGGAGCAATGAATGGATCTCAAATTCTAGCATTTGGCACGACGCTTTGAAGAAATTGCAGATCGACTTGATGCTTTGAGCGAAGATGCCAACAGAAATCGAAATGACGAGAGGCAACATACCGGAGATGATGTGGCTCATGGACAACCTGTCGGCAGACTAGTTTTTGCAAATAGGCATAGATAGCAAGTCTACGTGAAAAATTCGGATGAAAAAGATGATTACTTTGTAGGTTTTGGGAGGCACGCTGGATATGGACGAAATGATTGTGGGGATAGAGATACCAATGAATTCAAATTAAACGTAGATATTCTTTGCTTTAATGGTAATTTAAATATTGAAGATTTTCTGGATTGGGTTACGGAAATAGACAGGTTTTTCGAATATATGGAGATTCCAGAAGGAAGAAGGGTGAGACTCGTTGCGTGCAAATTGAAGGGTGGAGCTTCTGTATGGTGGGAAAGATTACAATCCATAAGATTTCGCAAGGGGAAAACACCAATTAAAACCTGGTACAGGATGACACAGTTGTTACAAAAGGATTTTCTTCCTCTTGATTATGAGCGGATCTTGTTCCAATAGTATTAGGTCAGAGATCTGTCTGAAAATATATTGCTGAATATCGATGGTTGTTACTCCACCTTTGACTATAATGAACATCTATATAGAGTTGCTTTAAGATTCTTTAATGGGTTGAATGTAAACATAAAGCTCACATTGATTTACGACCTGACCATACATTTCTTGATGTTCTTCAATTAGCCTTTGACATAGAATCATAATTAAGAATTAAAAAAAAAAAAAATCTTTTTCAGAGAATACATGCGTCACCAATTATGGAAGAAAACAAGAAGCATAAAGCACTTCCTAAAGAAATTCTTAATGCCAACGAAGACCATGAGATGTTACAAATTAAGGATCACACATCAAAGGAGATTGAACATGAAGTAAACGTTGAAGTTGAACGAGTTCTCCAAGAAGAGAAGATTGAAGCTTGAGCAAAAACAGATTGTCCTAAAGGATAAGCCGGAGCAAAAGCAAGTTGTCCTAAAGGAGAAACTTGAGCAAAGAATAACACATTTAAGTTAAGGATCAAAAGGATGAAACATCGACGACATTCGATTTCAACTCGAAGACTATAGTGTGTGACAACTTTCCTAGGAAGATCAATGACAAAGGATATTTATTTGCTCCGAATGAGGACTTATTACTCAACTTCACGTATCACCCACTAGATTGAAACTCGAGTGCGAGTTTATTTTTAAGAGGGGGCGTATAATGTAGGGAAAATAGTGTTAAATTAAAAAGTTTAGTTGATTTAGGAAGTTTTAATTTAGTTAAATTTTATTTTCTTATTTTATAATTAGTAAACAGTTGAGATTTCTTATTTTAATTAGTTTTCATGTTTAAGTAAGATTTTATTTTATTGTTTAATTACAGTTATATTAGGTTGACTGTAACCACCCTATACAAACATATTATTTGTTTTTTTCGAAGATATAAAATACTCAATAAATTATTCAAATTTTATTTTAGATTTTAAGGTTTAAGTTTCGGTGAAACTTGATATCAGTTTTAAAGTATAGTCTGAGTGTTAATTTTGTTTTATTGTGTTAACCGCTGTATCATCTTTAATTATCCCGAGGAGATGGAGCCTTAGCAATCAATTAGATTGAAGTAATACACAATAAGAAGTGGCATGACCATCAAAAGCAATCAAATAGTTCCTTAAAGTCAATTCATACACTGTCCACTGTAAACTAAACATTAACTGAATTTTCAAATCAAACCATACAAAAACATTAAAGAAAATTTCTCAATTAGGGTTTTGTTGAGAAAATTTGAGTTTAGTGACAGAGGTAGACAATAATTTTTCAATAAAATGTAAAATACATATCTATGATTCTCTTGATTTTTTTATTTTTTAGAAAATCCAAAACCATTATAATTTTTTTTTTTTTAAATCATCAAAATATTTAGATGTCACGAACGCTATATAAACTCTTAACAATCTAAACACACAGTTTAATAATTGGTAGTTTTATATTTAATGGGAAAAACACATTCAGTATAAAGACGTCACTTTGTCTAAAGTAATCACGATACACGGTGTAATTTTATCCCTCCTACTAAATCCGACGTTTGTAATAAAATGATGTATACAAGTACCATCTCCAGCCAACGATAACGATGCATTTCACTCACTCCAACACACACGCACAGCGCCACTGCAGATAATTATCCCTAGACTGTGAAATCATGCTTTCCTGGTTTCAAAAACCCTAACTGGTTACAATTCAGATATGGACCAAGAAGAATCTCGAAACGGTGATTTCGCTCACTACAACGACCACCACGTCTCCAAGAAACCCAAACTCACCCGCTTCATATCCGAACCCGAAATCCGCGACGAATTCTCGCACCACCGGTCCGGCATCGCCCGTATTAACAACGGCAGCTTCGGGAGCTGTCCCAAGTCCGTGCTAGCCGCGCAGCAAAATTGGCAACTGAAGTTCCTCCAACAGCCTGATGATTTCTACTTCAACACTCTCCGCAAGGGAATATTACACTCCCGTACCCTCATCAAAGACCTCGTTAACGCTGATGACGTGGATGAAATCTCCCTTGTCGATAATGCTACTACCGCTGCCGCCATCGTCCTCCAACAAATTGGACGCGGCTTTGGTGAAGGGAAGTTCAATGGAAACGACACCGTTGTAATGCTCCACTGCGCATTCCAGGCCGTCAAGAAATCTATCCAAGCTTATGTCACGCGTGCTGGTGGCTCAGTTATCGAAGTTCAGTTACCATTTCCGCTGATTTCGGAGGAAGAAATTATCAGAGAATTTAAGAAAGGGTTAGAAAAGGGTAAAGAGAACGGTAAAAAAGTTCGGTTAGCGATAATTGATCATATTACGTCAATGCCATGTGTTGTGATTCCTGTTAGTAAATTGGTTAAAATTTGTAGAGAGGAAGGTGTTGAACAGGTTTTTGTAGATGCGGCACATGCTATAGGTAGTGTTAAAATTGATGTTAAAGAAATTGGAGCTGACTTTTATGTTAGTAACTTGCACAAATGGTTTTTCTGCCCACCATCGGTTGCTTTTTTGTATTGTAGAAAATCGAATGTATCCCCTGATATGCACCACCCTGTGGTTTCTCATGAGTTTGGCAATGGGTTGCCAATAGAGAGCGCATGGATTGGTACTAGAGATTACAGTGCCCAGCTTTTAGTACCTTCAGTTATGGAGTTTGTGAGTAGGTTTGAAGGGGGAATTGATGGAATTATGACAAGAAACCACGAGCAAGTACTGAAGATGGGGAGAATGTTGGCAGAGTCATGGGGAACAAATATTGGCTCGCCGCCTGAACTCTGTGCAGGGATGATAATGGTTGGCTTACCTTCAAGGTTAAGAGTTTGGAGTGAGGAGGATGCTTTGAGGTTGAGGGAGCATTTGAGGGTCCATTTTGGGGTTGAGGTCCCGATTTATTATCAGCCACCGAAGGATGATAGTGAGGGTCATGCTAGGGATAAGGATGGGGTTATAACGGGGTATGCCAGGATTTCTTATCAGGTTTATAATGCATTGGAGGATTATGAGAAGTTTATGAATGCAATAAATATCCTTGTCGACAAGAAAAAAATTTGCAAAATGCTTATTTCAGAGTAAAATGATGAGGTATGATCTTCATCCTACCATGGAGTTGTGTGTAAAATATATAAGCATAATCAGTTAGTATGCTCTGATTTTTTCATTGGTTCCACTCTTCTTGTGTAGATTTAAATTTATGTCTCTCGGGACTTATCTAGTTGCAAATAATTTCTTGGCGAAATTGCATTAGAGGTTAATGAAGCAACATTGAATACTTTAGTTCTCGTTTGTTCTGCATTTTTACAAAGAAATCTCTGCTTTTCATATTTGATATAGCCAATAAACTTGACACATTGTTGTGCAAACCTACTCTACATGCCATATTGTTACTAACTCAAATAGCTTGGACTTCATTGAACTGAAGTCCATCTCAAATATACTGGACTTCATTGAGCTGAATACCATTTCCAGTAGCTAGGACTTCTTTTTTCTTATTGGATGCAGAATAAGTCATATGAGATTTATCTTGATTCATGACAAGAGGTATAAATGGTTAAGAACCATTTAATATTTTAAATCCATTATGCCCTTTCTTGGTTTTGAACAAATTAGAAGAATTCTATAAACAATCAAACCTCAAGTTATGTTGTGGAGGATCTTTGAATAATCGTCTTATGAGAGTGTTTGACTGCATTTGTCATGTGTGTAGATTTGTATGTGTGTCTAAGGTGCAATTTACTGACTGTATGTGGTAATCGATCTAAAGTATCTTTCCTGATTTTCTATATTTTTTGGCAGTTGGATGTAAACAGATGGGCAGCATATTGGGGACTAACATCTGTTTCACCAGTTATTTTGCCCTGTCTTGGTTTTCTAGTGACAGAACTTTGAACCCTCCACAGTCCACACCCTGGCTAAGTGAGGCTGTTTTATGTGCTCATCCTAAACTTAGAAGTTATCCTGCAAACCTTCCTACACTGATCCAATGTGCAACTTGGTGTAGCTTTGTTATTCCGTCTCTGTATTTCATGACAATAAATGTACGCAGGCTGGCATTTTAAGTAGTTCAGTTGCCTTTGCACGAATTTATTATTATATGGACATCTATCAGAGAGCTCCGTTCTGTGTTATTTGGTTGTTTTTGCAGGGTTGCTTCATGGGCATTTTAGAAGGTGTTTCAACGTAATTTTTTATCAATTTATAATAATTGTTCCATAGTTTTCAGCAAGGAATTGCTTTTGAGAAACTGTATTTATGAGATAAATTTATATGACCTGCACTGATGGTAACATCGTAAAATTGATATAAATCTTGTCAATATGACCGCAAATCAGGGGTATTGTTTGTAATATGATGCTACTAAGTTCTCCTTTTCACCCCCAAAATGATAGATGTGAAGATAAATAAGGCAAAAAAAGAAAAGTAATTGTTCACACCAATATTTTGACTAACAGATCAGTGAAATTTGAAATCCCTTCATAGATATAAATTACCATTGGGACAGTGAACTAACCTACAAAGGAGGAAAATCTTAACTGCGATACTTCTAAGTGAATATTCGAATTTAATATTGTATTACTAAATCTAAATGTACAAAGAGCATTCAACTCAGAGTTGACATTTTTGGCCAACTAAAAAATTTTAAAAAAAATCAAAATAGTGAATTCTTCTTATGCAAAGGACAAAATTTGAATGTTAGAAGCATTATACATCAACAATCCGGAGACAGTAAAACTATTCTGAAAGCTTATATGAACAGCTCCGATTCAGTGAAAAGGTATTGTCAAGAAAGAGCCATCCCATACTTGTTACTCTTGTCTTTGCCCAGAATATCTGCAAGAATAATGTCCACATCTTCCAAACCAACGCCAATGCATAAAGAATTGATTGAAGGTATAAGCATCCTCGTAGCTTGATCTCCATTGGGAGTATCTACAACTCTTAGATTAGGACCATCCTTGCATTTTCCCATGCATTTGCACCCGGACACAGCAAACTCTGCGCCAAGCTTACCTCCAAATTCTTGCAACAAAGCCTCAGCTCCTAACTTTTTGCATTTGCCACCCATACAAATCTCTATTTTCTTGGCCGATGTTCCCTCTGCAATGCTTTCTGTTTGCTCCTTATTGCAGCCATTAGAGCTGCTGCATTCACCCCCACTTCTATAATTTTGAGAACTCATATCTCCAATTCCCAGCGTTTCCTCTGATTTCTCTTGTTGAACCAGTGAGGCACGTGTACCTGACGTTGCTACTTTTATCTTTTGTTCTGCTTCACTGTTTTTTGATTGTTCGAGAACATTACTTCTCAAGCGGATCATGTCAATAACCTCTCCATTTTCACTGCCGCTGGACTCGGATGATGAACTCGATGATGAGCTAGATGATGACTCAGATTTTTGCTTTCCTTTTTTTTGTCTCAAGGTATTCTTAATTTGGGCTTTCTTCTCTTTCATCGTTCTCTTCAATTCCTTTTGCTCTGTTCTCAATTGTTGCACCTGTGCTTGCAGAACCTCTACCGCTCCCTGCATTGAAGATAGATGATTACATTATTTATTTGTATGTTGTACATATTATTGGTCGAGCACAAAGTAGATTTGATCTAGTAGGTGATTCTCCCATTGAGCAGATACGAAAGATTATACTCCCAAAAAAATACAATACTAGACTTTATATTTGCTACAGATGAGCATAATAATACGTTATCTACTATAATCAAAACTTAATCCCATAGATTTAGGTATAGTCGATGAAAAATATGCCCAAAAAAATAAAGAATAACGAAGAAGCTAAAGCACCAAAACTCAAAAGGAAGCAAGTTCACTTTCGTACCGAAATCTTTTCTTCATTCACCAAACTATTTCCATTCTCAATGCCGGAGGTCTCAAGCGAAAACAAGGACAAGTCTTTTGACATTTTTTTTATAAACTTCAATTTCTTCTTGACTAGCTTAATTTCAGAATTGTTTTCCTTCTCTTTCTTCTTGAATTGTTTGATCGGCGACACATAGTACTGTTGATGTTCAGAATCAGAAAACTGAGTATTCAATCGTGCCAAAAGTTTTCTGGGTCTCTCTGAAACTTTGAAATCTCCAATACCCACGTGGCACTTGGTCGTAAACCGGTTACTGATATCGGAAGGAAAACGTAGAAGCGAGTGTTGAACAGTCCTCGTCGTCTCCATTGCTTGGTTCAAAAGCCGTCCACCCCGTGTCGACATGACGTAATATTAGTAGCAGTTCCTTACTTCCTTAACCGATTCGGAACGAAAGAGAGGGAGATTGAAACTAACTGAAAGATTAACGTGGCAATAGCTTATTGGTGCAAGAAGAGGTAAGGCTGACGTGTAACTGCTTTTGTCTAGAACCTGCGCACTCGTGATAGTTTCAGTTCGCCACACTCCTTTCCGGTTTTGACATGCTTTTTAATATAATATAAGCGGTACGATTATCACCCTTAATATGGACGGTTCAGATTGACCCACCGTGGCTGCCAGCTGGCGGATCATTTTAATTTCAAAAAGATCAAAGCATTAAATTTCGGGGTTAATTAAATTGAAGCGACTTAACCAATTGTAGATTTGTAGGCCCTTAATTTGAAGGAGCCCGGCCCGCGCATGGTCTGAAAGCACGCATCTTCGACCACGTGGCAAAGAAACTCTCAGCTACCAAATCAGACGGACATCATTCATGGAGGTGTATTCACCTGATACAGCTTGAAGCGCATGCAGCACCGAATGCATACTCTACTTGTTAATTCTGAACCTTGAAGCTTCGAAGCTGTTATTGATCGGGAGCTAGTTAATTGAATTAATCTGATTTTCAAAATGGCCGAAGAATCGACCCCTCCGATCAGGTTGATGAATTTTGTATCCGAGGATCAGGTACTTCGGATTTTAATTAAATTAATTTATTACTCCTCTGTAAACCCTAATTATCATTTTTCTCGATTGTTAATCATGCGTTTGGTGGATTAACTGTGACAGTTGGATCAAGCAAAAAAAGCAAGGGGTGAACGAGTCGAGGATGGTACTGCCCAGAGAGATAGACCTCTCTTCGAGGTTTGTTCACTTCATTTTTGCATAAAAACTTCCTCTTTCATGCTAATATGTTTTATTTTGATTCTGTTTAAGCACTTTTGTTCTTCAATATATGTCAGTTTGCTACACTTGCTCAATATTTTATCATTTTAGACAAGTGTTAATTATTGGGGATTTTTGGATTCTAAAGAATTGCTGATTGCATTACAACATTGACTCATTAATTTTCATTGGAGAAATGCGCCTTTTGATTTATAATGGTATTTTTTTTTTTTTTTTTTCACTTGATATAGATTTTGAAGGAGAACAAAGACAAAAAGGATGCAGAATTTAATGAACGCTTCAAGCATAGTAAGTGTTAAAGAGTCTATCATTTGAGCTACAGTTGGTCTTCTTTGTTAATGGTCAATTAAATAGAGTGTGCAAGTTTTTACTTGGAGGGATACCTCTGTGTGTGTTATATTGCTAGTCAAAGTCAGTTTTTGCATGTCTTTATATATTGTTCTACATGTCATTTCTGTGCTCAGGTGTGTTGAGGGTGCTTGTTTGTAAGGAACATGTAATTTGAAGACCATGTTTTTGGATAACCCTATGAATGGGTTGTGGTTGAGTAGTCTAGCTACATTACTGCTAAGCAAATAGAATTATGCATGGTTTACAGATCTCGAACATTAACTTGCAAGATGGAATGAAGACTAATCACTTAACTTATTGCAGGACCACCCAAAGCCTTGGATGAAGACGAAACTGAGTTCCTTGATAAATGGGAGATGGTGAGACTATTTTAAGATAATTGGTTATATAATTCTTCTAGAAATGCAACGAGTGTTTTTCCTTTCAGAGAGTTTTTGCTGTTCACCATGTCTGCTAATACCCAGTAAGACATGTTGTCATGTTTGGTTGACATTTGGACCATAATTGTTCATTATTTTAGGTTCTTACAAGTGATATGCCAAGCTGAATGTTTTAAAAGATATAAAGTTAGAAGTAATTTTCTTTCTTGCTCAACAATTTCTTGTTAGACAAACATCCAAACTCATCTATGCTTCTTTAACTTTAGTATTTATATTTTTATCTTGCAGTCTAGGAGGGAATACGAGCAACAAGTGGCAGATGAAGAGACCCAACAACTGCGGAGTTTCCAAGTAATTTTCTAACAAATCTGAATTCTTAGCAATTAGTGATTTAAACTGATATTGCTAAGAATTTTATGATGCATTCTGCTATATGTTCCTATGTGGATGCATAATTTGTTAGGTTGGGTATTGTATGTTCAATCCATAAAAAATTAGAACTGGCTAATATATGTAGCCTTGGTCTCTGTTTATTGTGTACTGGATTAAAACCATCCTGTTTGTCTTCCAATATAAATGTGCTCTTCAGCAGTGTGTGAATACTAATCCTAATATTTTCAATGGCCACAAGCAGCTGCATGATTTATGTCCAGGATTAATGTTCACCTGATCCTTCATTTTAGACAGTTTTCCGATTGTTTCTTTTTCAGGCAGCAGTTGCAGCACAGTCTACTATTGTACAGGAACTGAAGGAAACAGCCCCTGCTCCTGTGGTCCAGGTTTGTATTCTAATGTTTGTGTTATTTTTCTTGACAACTTCTTAGTGTGCTTGTTCATGTAATGATTGACTTACCTTCCAGGAAATGTAGCAATTAATAACTGAGGCAGAATTAGCTTCTACAAGTTAAATAATTTGGTAGAGCCTTATGTTTGTCGGGATGACTTGGTCCTGTGATGTAGAATTGTTTAGCTACTGACCTGGATACATATCTATCTGATGGTATTGTCAGAGGTTTAGTGTTGATTCTTTTCTCATTGCATCTTAATTCTGATTCCAGGAACAGAAACCAACTGGGAGGAAAAATCCGCCCACTCGTCCGTTAGGCATGATAATAAAAGTCAAGCCACAAGCAAAGAAAGCGAAGATAGATCATGGAAGTGTTGAAGAACATTCAGATATGGTGAAAAAACCTGATGTTAATACAGAAAAATCACCAGATCCTATGAAAACATCTAATGGTGATACTGCTAACTCTAACGATGTAGCAAAAACATGTCTAGTTACATACAGTGATGAAAGTGAAGATGATGATTAGTAGTTCAGTTTTCCTATATGAGGACAGTAGTGAGTTCTTTAGTTAATTTTTTCAAAATCATATACCTTAGGTATTGAACCATTCAAAGTTGGAAACATCTAGCATTCTTGGTAATCCAACTTCCACGGTTCAAGCAGTCAGTTCATAACCTCACAAGAGCCATTAAAATGAAGGATATATGCAAGCGATATGGTGTATTTTGCAGATTCAGGTAAAGAAATTCATAGGAAAAACTCGTAGTTGAAGTGCTACTGCCTTGAACTGTTGCTTAGGAGGTATAAACCCATGTTTAGTGTTGGTCAAAATATCATGCTTTCATTTCTCTTCTAGGCAATCACGTCTGCTTCCTTGATTGTGTATAAACGATGAGATACCACCGCTGTAATTCGGGGATTTATCACTTGGTCTAGTTTATTCAAGAAAAATGCTACGAACATCGACATTTTGCACATAATTTTTACATTGAACGACGTGTCCATTGAATCAGACAAACCACTTATCACGTTAACAAATATTTTGCGAATGAACGGCCGTCCATTAAATATAGATGACTGTCCATTGTTATTGGACGATCGTCCATATTTTATGGACGGCCGTCCATCTAGAATGGATGCTTGTTCATAGTTTAAACTAAAAAAAAATTGGCATAAATTGTTTATAGACGCCCGTCCTCTTATGAGGACGATCGTCCATAATTATGGACGGGCGTCCACACTGTAAAGTTCAAAAAAAAAATTAAAAAAATTTATGGATGCCCGTCCATTGGACAGTGGATGGGCGTCCCTCACTGCTTAAATGGACTACAAAATCTGCTTAAATGGTCCCTCACTGCTTAAATGGACTACAAAATCTGCTTAAATGGTCATTGCATAAACATGTTTGTTCAGTTTGGAATCTGCTTATGACCCACCTACTAAATGGACTACAGAATTTGCACTGCAATTAATCAATTTTCATCTTTCTTCTAACCATTTTCATTAATTCTGCTACAATTACATATCCAATAATGTTTATCCTATGCATATATAACATACATGGCGATAAAATTTGCAGCATGAACTTTTAATACACATGACACTGCCATTGAGAGTGTCTTGTAACAACTGAGAAATCTTCATATATAATTTTGAGCTACTTTTGAAAATCAAGAAGCTCAAAAATCATTGATCCAGTTAAGGCTGTGGACATAAGTTATGAGCCATATGGAGCTGATGTTGCTACCTTCTGTGACCTAGAAATGTCATGATTGCCAGCAGGTTTGTTGGCCAATCAACGTTTGTAGCGTTTGAGAACATATGCCAGATTCTCTTTTCCCTTTGGGAAAGCCACATCACCAACAGCAGTGCCTGTTCGTCCCTTTCAACAAGATATAGCAGTTTCTACGTCCTTAATGATGTCTAGAAGCATCGTTGCAGTTGTGCATTTCCCTCTTCCTGGTTTTGCAGTAAGAGGCAACATGTTTGTTCAGTTTGGAACAAACGAGCTCCCATCCCTCATTGCAGTGCAGATCCTCTTGAGGTACTCTGTTTTAATCAGTTTTGTTTGCTTTTGAATATATTTGTGTGGAAACTTATAAAGCAATGAACATGTTTGTTTAAATGTTTGACTGAATTCTTTTAGGTGCATAGATACGTTATTTGGATTATTTATTTTAAAAAACTGTCATAAATTTAATGAAATTTTAATAATGGACGCCCGTCCATTGAACACCTGTCCATACAATATGAATGAGAATCTATTAAATATGGATAAGCGTCCATAAATGTTGAACGATCGTTCATTCACTAAAGACTTTAGTGTGGTCGCGTCTGACTGGTTGCCATATCCTCCGATATAAAAATTCGGTGTAAAATTTTGGTGTCCGTAGTATTACTCTATTTTCAATCGCCTGATCGGCTTCACGCATATCTTTGGATTTTGAAGTTTGAACAACAGCTTCTAATGCTGATACAGTGATACTGATAAGCTCCGCCTGTAGGGTTGGGAGTTGGGACATAACAATGCAGCCCTTTATGATTCTGGCAATTGGGCTGGACCTGTAGTCACTACACACACAGCCCACAATATCCTCATTCGGCATTGCATTGTGGTAATTGGTAAAGATGGAAGAAAAGTAAGTTACTATTAAGCCCACCTACAATTGGTGGGGAAGGTAATCAGAATAAATATTAATCTTAACATCTCCGAATTTTCTCCACATATTAATGTTTCAAAGCCGGACACTTTGAAGCACTTTTGGACATGTTTATCAAATCGTGTATCGTATTATATATCAAAAACTTAATTTTTTAAATTATGTATCGCGTATCGTATCGTAAGATACACTTTTTTCAAAAAAAATCAATAAAATAATAAAATTTTCTAAAAATTAATATTATCCCCAAACTTAATTAAAGAATTGTGTGATATTATTGGCTTTAAATTATAGTATTACATAATCAAAATTAATCTCAAAATTAATAATCTATATCATTTTCTCTCAACCATTCATATCATTTCTAAAATCAATGTCAATATTTATATCTCTACTTGTATTATTATCATCATGCAAAATGGGTAAAACATGTTCCTCTTCACTTTCTTTATGCAAAATAGGTAAATTTAGGTAGGTTTTAGTGAACCAAGTTGGGTGACTTGGATCCGACCCGGTTTTTTTTTAGACCTCAGGCCCAATTTAATAAAGTCGTATAGATTTGTATCAATATTTTTAAGAATACGAATGGATATGTATCATAAGATACATATTAACATATTGAAAAGTTTATGATACACTCTCTAATACATATTATTAGCGACTCGTATCGAATCATATCGGAAGATACTAATAACTATGTTTTTGGTAACTCAACAATCGCCAATAAGCACTCTTAACATTAATACACGCCTTGACAGAAAGGATCCATTAGCCATTAGGTTGAAGTCTTGAAGGTTAATATTTTATACAAGTTACTTGGGAATATTTTAGAATTTATTTTCATTGACTTCTTGCAAAACCAAATTGTAGGTCTCCAACAATAATCTTACCTGAAGGTGTAAGAAATTGATATTTATTAGCCGTTTTGACTAGATATGCAATGCCATATTTGTTAAGTATCATCAATAAAAAATAAAAACAAATGAGAGTACACGGTTTTGCTCATCATTCCATTGGATAAACCGAATTATAAAGAGAGAGAAATAAGAAAACTTTCGAGTAGTGAAAGTGAAACAAATTAAAAATTAGGACAAGGAGAAGTTTCCCCTTAACCAAGATCAATGATATTCATTATTTTAGTAATTTCATGAATTTGTAACTTAAATTAAAAATTAGGACAAGGAGAAGTTTCCCCTTAACCAAGATCAATGATATTCATTATTTTAGTAATTTCATGAATTTGTAACTTAAATACGTATCTTATTGTCTGCACGCAGGAAGATACATTGGGATTCAGACAGGTGAGGTGGTTGTAATTATTGAATATTTCATTATAGTTGTGGAGGGAAACTTGTGCCGAAATCTATTCTGTTATCGTCATCCGTGACGTTTCTTCCCTACCAATCGCCCTTTAATTATTCGCTTCTTGATATTGTAAATGCAAATCCTACGTCCCACCCATACTGAATACCACTAGAATTTCTAGAAAACACGCCACCGTCACTGCTACGAAGAAGAGTTAATAATACGTACACTAACTAATTTTGAAAAGAAAAACTTTTAAATTTTTAATATTAATATTTAGATTAATATAAATTGGTTAGTATACATAATATTATTTTATTAAGAATGACTCCTTATTTAATAGTGCAACCCAATTTGTTTGTATGCTAACAAATACGAAAAAGAGAGAAATTATGTTAGGTAACTTTCTTGGCCTTTTTATTCAATTCATTTCCAATAAAATACATTGGATATAATAAGACCCTAGAACAACAATATAGGAAACAGAAGATAATTTTAAGCTATACAGTCCCTTCAAAGTGGAAAACAGAAGACAGTAAATGTCCACCAAAATTGTAAATATTAGAAGAGACTTATATGTAAAGCTTATGAAGTTGAAGCACTAGTGTGAAGTGCTACTAAAGAGGCATAACATCCATCTTCAATANACTCAGCTCAAGCTGCATATTTTTACCTTTGAAACCGCATCAACCACGTTGCCGTTATTCTGGTTTTGTCCAAAAGAATCAGTCAAGTCACCAACTAGTATTGCCATTACGGGCGTACATAGGCCATTTCCTATAGCTCCAATTGAGCCAATGCTCATCAGCATTATATCAGTAAAATCTGCAAATGCGAACAACTTGGGAAATGGAACCTTGTTAGCTTTCTCTTTTTCCTTGCTCTTCTCCAACTCTTGTTGGTCGCCATTCATGTTGGAGCCTTTATTCGTCTCTCCTTTGCTTCTTGACGTGGTGGCCTCATTAGAGCTGGTATCACCATTCTCAAAGGCCATTCTACCGGCTCCAAGACACTAGCTCAGTCGACGACTACTATAAGAATATTTTAACTTCAAGCAAGCTGCATCACACCATTAATACTCGAGTATCAGCAACATGAAACCCAAATAGCTGGAAAAATGGTCAGATTTGGACTATTGATAATCAAGGACTAGATAATTAGAAAAAGACGAAAATATGATGGACACATTTTGAGTTCGAAAGGGTTGAAACATATTGGCAGCGAAAAAATCCAGAAGAACAATTTTGACAAAATATTCCTTAAATTCTACAGAAGTATTAACATATAAAAATTTGAAAGTAAAGCAGACAACAGTAATCAACCGTAGTTAATATATGACAAAAGGGAGAAAAAAAAAATGATCTTTTTCCAACAAAAAAGGCAGCACATAAACAAGAAGATCCAATTCCAATAATAATTTACAAAGTTAACAATTTTAGTATGTTAATTAGTTTAAAAAGTAAAAACACACTATTGATCAAATCCAAAATATAAGAAAACTGATCTTGCAAGTATTTTAACAAACTAGTAATAAGAACAGGGATCTCAAAAACAGCATGTTTGTTTCATTATTTGATTTTCCTTGATAGAATTTGAGATGGGCCTGACTCCTCA